CTGCTTACAGGTACAGGCTGCCTAAATAAACTGCTTTATAGTGGTTGGGTTCTTTCTTTGATGAGGCATCCAGTGATGCAGAAAAAAAGGAGAAAGTGCTTCTGTGCAGCCCCAAACAAGCACAAGGTTAAAGAAATGAGTGTTGCAGCACTTGAGGTCTGCAGGAGAGCCATGTGTGTTCTGTGACATCCCAGTGTCCTCCCTGTGCTTCAGGGCCTGACTCAGAGCCCTTTTCCTGGAGAGAGGTTTGATCTTCACAGCTTCCCTGGGACAGGGCACAAGGAAGGGCAGCAGATGCCTCTGCTCTGCTCCTGGGAAAATATTACTGATTCACACTCCTGTGTAAGTGAAATCAGAAGCTGCAGCTCCGAGTTACAGCCTGAATTTAGCAGCCACTGCACAGCACAGTCCCCACAGCCCTGCTCCTGCTCAGGCAGCTTTTCCAAGGGATCTGCTCACTCCTGCACATCCTTAAAATCCCTACCAGAGGATCCCTCCCCTCTGCAGAGGCATCAGGATGGAGCTGAAAGCAAAGCCGTGGCTCCTCTCAACCCAGGATTTATTCCTCAAGTTATCCAGAGATGATTGAGAGTTACAAGATGCTTTTTCCTCTGGTGCTGCTGGCAGGAAAAATATTGCAATGGATGGTCCTGCTTTTTTCTGAGAGGCCCCTGAGAGCTGGGCTGGGCTCCAGGGCAGTGCTGGGGGAGTGGAGCAGCCTCATGAGCACAGGGAGGGTTAATTCCCTGCTAACTCCCAGGTGCTGAGCTTATCCCCAGCTCCCTGACTTCCTCCATCAGGGACTGCAGGAACTGTTTGAAAAGAGACATTTCTTGAAGAGAGACATTTCTGAACCTAAGAAGGAAAAAAAGACAGGGACAACACATCTGGAGTGACTCCTGCTCTGCTTTTTTCCACTCTGCACAGGATAAAATCCTCATGCTGGGGAAGGGAGCAGTGGTTTTCATACCCAAAAATCCATTTTGCACTGGTAGTGCTGGCTGGGGTTGAAGCCTGACAAACTTCAGGCTCATAAAAAGAGGCTGACAAAGCAAAGGAGAAAAAGAAAAGCTTTCAAGACGTTCAAGTGAGAAACAAAGCAGCACTGTACAAAAATGCCTGGCTCTCCATTTGCCTGGAATCCCCAAGGCTGCTCTGCCCTGGCAGGCTGCATGGCAATGCCTGATTAGCTTGCACTCTGTGTCCTCACTGTGCTGCAGGAGAGGAGGACAGGCTGGCAGGGCTTGCAGCAGCTCCAAAAGTCCCAGCAGTGCTGCAGTGAAGACCTGCCTGCATTTTGTAGCATTTCTTCCCAGGGAGAACAAGATCAGCCTGATGGACGAATGCAGAGACTCAGAAACAGGGAATTCATAACCTGGATGGCAAGTTTTGTATGGAATGAGCTGAATTTAAGGTAGGTTGACTCATTGCAGGGGTAATCTGCACAGCTTTTCAGTGGAAACTCTGGAGTTTCAGAAAACTGCTGCCAGTATGCTCAAGCAAAGAAAGAGGTAGGAATGATGAGAGGAGCCCACCCAAAGCTGATTTGCAGATAGTCCCAGGTCAGGCTAATCCTGTGCCTCAGCACTGAAGTGCTACAGAAAGCCTGAGACAGGCAGGTAGCAGTGTGGGGATAAAAACAGAGCTTGTTTTGCTCTAAGGAAGGGGGCTGGCCTAACTTTTGTACAGCAAATCCCTTCCTGAACTGATAAAGGCAGCAGCAGATTGAATATCGAGCCCTCCCAGGGAACATTGTGCTGAAACCTGGAAGGTTTCATCCAAAATCCCCCTGCAGAACTGCAGCTTCCCAAACTACACCCACCAGCCCTGCTTGCCAACCCTCAGAGACAGAAACTGCTGACACATAAAACCTTCACTTTTTGTATTTCATCTCTGCTTCTCATCCTCTCCTGCAAATGCTAAAGAAATGACACGATCCGAGGCTGCAAAATGACACTGGTGCCTGGGCTCTCTCTCTGCTCTGCAGCACAAAGGACTGGGAATATCTGGATTAACTCTTCTCTGGTGTATGGTGTTGAACAGCCTGTGAAGAACTATCCCTCACTTCCTCCATTATGACTTGATGCAGTTTAAAATCATCTCCTTTGTCTCTCTCAGGCACTCTCAGACCTTTGTTCTCATCCATCTGGAAGCCAAGACTGCAGGGAAAGAAAAGGAAAAACCTCTCTGTGAGCTGGGGAGCTTCAAAGCAAATTGAGAACAGACACCTCTGTTCTGGGGAAGAAACACTGGAACAGGAGCTGAGGTGCTTTGATACCAGAGCAGAGTGAGCACTTGCTCCTCCTCTCCCCGAGGCAGGACAGAGTGATCCCAGCGTGGAGAAAGGGAGAACATACCTCCTGCTCAGCTCCTCCTCCTGAGCTTCCAGGGGCAGCTCGGGCAGGGATGCAGAGAGCTCCTCTCTGTCACTCACAGGCAAGGGGAGGCTGGGCTGGGCTGGAGATTCAATCACAGAGTGGAGTTTTAGTGAAACAGCAAATCAGTTTTGGCAGCACGCTGAGTTAATGTCAAAAAACACTGAATTTATTCTCTCAAACGATATACTTAAATAAATATACTATATATATATATATATATATATATATATGCTTTCAAATAAATATTTGATCTTCTAAATTCTATATTACATCCATATCATAAATATATGACAGACTTATTTTAATTTCCTTCCAGCAAAATGAAAACATGATGAATTTGCATTTCAGGGCTAAATACGTGCCTACATACATAGGGAGGAAAACAATGAATCCAAAATATTGAAGCGACCAAAACAAGAGGTCACAAACAGCTGAAAAGGATTAATTTGATGTTAATCTTGTAATTGTGTTTCAGATTATTACAGCTGTGGCTGGGACAAAGTTTGCAAGTGGCACCCACTGAAACAACTTCTTAAAACACTTTGATCCTCAGCATAAACAAAATGTGGGTTAAATGTACTTCAAAGTGTACTTAAACCAAGGTTCTAACTCAAGAATGCTTTTCTAAATAAAGGTCTACCCAAAACATGCAGCTCTGGTCATTCCAAAAAGAAAAAAATCAGAAATTTTTTTCAGGGTTATAGAGAAAATGTAATTCAAGTTTACAGCTGGGACTGGAGAAGCAAAACCTGTGACCAGTGAACCCCTACAGGGGAAGGAGGACCAGAGAAGTGTTCAGGGAGCTCAGAAAGGAGTGCAGGAAGGGAGCACAGCTATTGCAGAGGATGCTGAACTTATCCCAGCCCTGGGGGACTGCAGGGTGATCTCTGCTGTAGATAAAAGGCTGAATCATTTTAGCAAATGTAAATAAATGGCTTTTCTCAATAGCCAGCACTGCCTACCTGGAGCCAGGTAATGTGAGGGAAGGATTTGTGTGGTTCAGCCCCAAATAAATTATAAAAATCAAGAAACCAGCTAAATGAAGAAAACAACAGGCTGGAGCTGGCTGCAGTCCTTATAACAGGGAATACAGCACCAGGATAGGGATCAGCCAGGCTGAGATCTGTGCTGTGCTCCTACTGAGCAATTGTTGGTTTGTGCTTGTGTTGTCATGTTGGCACACTTCTGTATCCCTTTTCCCAATTCATATCCCTCATAACATCAAATATCTTCAAATAAGTACATTTGTTATTAAAAATCTAAACTCTCCTTGTGTGGAATTATCTGGTTGGAGAGCACTGAACTCTGACAAAAACAAATGAGAAGAAAAGGCTGCATTGTACAGCTAAAAAATGCTTTTGATCTTGAGGCTGTGCTTTACAGTGCTGAGGAAAACCTGCTGTTACTTACCTATCCCTCCTCTGGGATTATTCTTTGATAATTTGGAATTTGGATAAAACAGGAAAAAAAGCACATAAGATTAAAAGTTTGAATAATTTTAAAACACAACTGGGTTGTTTGCAGCTCCTTAGCATCATTATCTACTTCCCTTGGATTGAAGAGACCAGGAACATTAGACTAGCAATTAGATCAGCTCTCTACAATTTTGCACTTTCAGAAAGAAAGGAAAATATTATGTTAATTAGCACGTTCTCTAGTCTCTATTTTGTATTCAAGCTTTTAATTTCTTCTTATTTCCTCAACCATTGGCCATGAAAGCATTGAGATAACCTCCATGCTCTGCTGGAGAGGTGTACTACAGATTTGTAGTCTTGGTTCTTGTACAAACTCCAGTTTTGGCACATCACAAAGCCCTCATCGAAGCAGGGGAGTGAAATAGATTGTTACCTACTCATCTGGTGGATTTAGAGGGGATTTCTCCTTATTAGCCTTACTGCCAATCCTTTTCTACTTTTGCTTTTAGTCCTTAAGCAGAGGAGATTAATGAACTAAATATTTAGTGAGAAGGGATCTGTCACTTGGTGAAAACAGCTTCTTCCTCTGACTATGAAATGCCAGCTACCAGGGGAGTTACGAAAACTTTACTACAGCACAACAAAACTTGACCAAAAAGCCTCAGGACCTGGAGAGTTTGTTTCTCTTGGAGCTTGCAAGGAGAAGATTTGGTAACAGAACACATCAACACTTCACCAGGTTGTGTAAAAGTCTGAGCCCTCAGAAACTCAGTTAAATTCTGTACAAAACAGCACCAAATTGATCCCACATTTCTGGGATCTAAATGTTTCTGCTCTCAGTTAATACAGGTGAGACAACTCTAAGAAGCAGTGCTCATAAAAAACCACATGAAAATGAGTCAGTGTGGGCTGGAGCCCCTTCCATGGACGCAAAAATCCTAAATCCTGCTCTAAGGAACAAATCCATGTTTTACAGAGAGGAGGAGGTTTGAAGCACCCATTCAGTCCCCATTCAGTATAAAGGTCCCTCTGAAAGGCTCATCCAAGGTCTCTGATGAGCCCTGTGGTCCCTCTGGTCACCTTAATTCAGCCTGACACCACCCCAACTGTTGCCAAAGTGAAATTCCCCTCCCTGCTGTTCATCTTCTGGCATTTGAAGTCTTTTTACTTTATGAAAATACACATAAAAAGGGAAACCACTGGAAAATTTTCCTTAAGAATATGTGCCATTTTATTGGTTTAGACACTTTACAGAATCAGAGTCCTTAAGCAATAAAAGGATCTGATCAGGGAAATAAAAATTTAACACCCACCATGAATTCTTCTTCTTTAACTATGCCAGGGAGGCTTTCATATTTATAGCAGGAGATTATCACGTTCATGGGATAATAAATTACACCAGATCTAATTACTTCATCACCAGCAATAGTTTTTCATAGGCACTGACAGGCCTTAAATTGGGATATGTCCTTTAATTCTGCTCTTAACCTTCAGCTGAATCCCTCAGGCTCGAGTGCAAAGGGAGCTGTGGGCAGCACAGAGCAGGGGAAAGCTTTTTTCCTGGAGTTATCCCATGGAAACACGCTGCAAAAATCCTGCTCCCACTCAGAGCTGTGGGAAAACCCTTTTCACTGAAGAAGGGCCAGGATTTTTCCTGCTGCCTTGCTCCTGGCTCTGAGCAGGTCCCATCACCACGTGCAAGCTCCAGCCCTGGGCTGGGTTTGGCAGGTGGAGCCCGAATTTTGTCGCTGTCTGTAAAGCCCAGAGGTGAAATAGGGGACGTGGCTGGGGCTGAGGGTTCCCCTTCACCTTTTCTGCTCCCCAGGGCAGGCTCCTGTGCACTTGTGCTGCTCCCTGCATCCACCTGCAGCTTTTCGAGCTGCTCTTCCAAGCTGTCACTCTGCCACTCCTCTTCCTGGAGCTTATTCTCAGTTTCCAAGATTTTGTTGCTGATCTCCTCCACCCTGACAGGGAAAAAAAAATAATAAAAAGAGTTCAGCTCATTTGTGTCACGTCTACATCAAATCTATCTTGGTACTGCTTCTTCCTGCAGAGCTCCCAACAGAAGGGAAAGAACTTTCCGTGCATCCAAAGGCAGAAATCCCAGTGAAATTGTAACAGGTGAAATCTTCTAAATATGCAAAAGAGAATTAACTAATGAGTACAGCTGGAAACAATGGGTTTGTTTGCTCAGATCCCTTAATTCTGGCTCCCTGTGTGAATTCACCCATCAGATGAGCAGGAAAGCTGCAGATTGCTGAGGAGTTTTATTACAGGAATAATAAACTGAATTTTTTAGTCACACTGGGAAAGCTTGGAAGGCAAATAGTTTATAAAAACACAGTCTAAATCTGCGTCAGTTATCTGAGAGGGAGAAAAGAAACTTCTGCTTTTAATAAACTTGGCAATTAGACATGACCATGGATGGGAGAGGGTGGAAAAGAAACTGGTGGTTACATCACAAAAAAGCAAATTGCCTCTCTCCGTCCTGAATAACATCTCAGAAAATTAACTGCAAAAATCTGATGCTGCCAGTGGGGACCGACACCAAGTGATTCCAAGGAGTTTAAAGCTAAAAAGAAACACAGATTGACTCACTGGACTGGACTGAATAAGAGAATTTCCCTCCTGACCCCACAGGTGGAAGCTGGCTACTGTCTGAATTGAGCCTTGATTAGTTTATTTCCCTCCTAGCTGGCATAACTAGAAAAAAAAAAATATTACAACTCTAATAAAATTATATCACTGGCTTAAAAATGTAGCTACAGGCAAGACTCGACCTCCTGTGGCAGTGAATTCCCAGGCTGGTGATGTGCTGTGAGACATTTTATTCCTCTCAGTGGTTCTGCATTCACTAAACTTTCATTTGACCCCAGTGGTCCTCTGGCATCCACTTTACACAAAAACTGGAGGAAAAATGGCAAGATCCGAGGGATTTTTTTAATGGAATCATCTGCCAATAGGAATAATTTAAATTAAAATGCTGTAGAAAAATCCCACTTACAATTCCCAGGGCTCTTCTCTTGATTTAAACATTATCTGTGTTACCTGAACTTTGTTACACCCCAGCAGTGGAGGGAAGAGGAGGAAAATCTGATTTTTAAAAATATATTCATGTTGAAATCTGACTGGTGCTATATTACCCTGAGGTCTTCCAAGAGTTATTGCACACAAAATTTATGTTACCTGCTTGATAAATGTGTGATAACTGTGGAGCTGCTGAATCATCAGTTTATGGCACATTTTACAAGCAACTGTGCATTTCATTGACTCTGGTTTTCATTATCCCATATTGGTGGTGGCCACACTTCAGTTACCATCACAGCCCCATCCTCATCTGACTGCAGAGCTCTATTAAAGTCACTGGGCTTACAAACATGAAAAAGATTTTTCCCAGCATGTATTTCCAGAATTTAGCTTTAAAAGCATCTTTTCCACAGTTCTAAAAGAAGAAAACAATTCTGTTTTTTTCTGTGATTATTCATACAGGACTAAAGTTATTATACAAGTGAGAATGACAACTGTGGTAAATTCAAGCGAGCAAACAGTGCTTATTGTATTGATAAGCACATAGACAGGAATATATTTCCAATATTGGAATACAGATTTGAGAATCAAATAACACATACTGGGGAAAAAAAAAACCAATAGCTGAAAGGTGTCCAGAAAAAATTACTTCACTTTTCCCCTCTCTCCTAAAACATGGTTGGCTTTTAACATCATCTTACCTTGAATTGAAGCATAGAAAATATAATTTTTTTAAAAATCACTGCTATGCCTCTGTTAAACCAGAATAAATTCATTTAGAAAAGGATACAATGAAACTTAAAAAGGAATGTGAAAAGCTTTGGAAGAGAATATTTTAACAATAATTACAGTATTTACTACTGCTGCCTCAATAAGGCCATGCATGTATAAATACAGCAATTCTGGTTTTATCTAGGTGCAGCAAGCTGGAAGATGGCTCCATTTTTTTCTGCCCTTTGTTCTAAAAGAATAATAAAAAAGAATGAATCATCAGCCAGGCAGGGAAATTGAGCAGAAAAAAACTGAAAACCCCCTATTTAAGGCAAGGATGGCAGCGTGTAATGTTCTGTAGTGCATGTCCCAGACTCTGCAGTGCCCCCTGATCCCAGCACCCCACAAAGGATGCTGCTGGCATGAGGCTGTACCTTTTCTCCAGCACAGCCACCAGCTCCAAGAGCTTTTTCCTCTCTGCTTCAGCAGCCTGGCACTGAGTCCTTTGCATTTTGATCTGTCCCAGCAGCGCCTCCCGGCTCGAGCCGTCCGTGCCAGCAGACCTGAGGAAAGCACAAGCACAGAGAGCCTGGTTCCCACTCCTGAAATGAAAGGAATGAAACAAAGCAGCATTTGAGCACTATCTCCAATACACTTGTCTGAAGGTGAAGGCAGGATGCAGAGCCAGGCTCACTACCTCCCCCCAGCACCCATCTCTAGACTGCAATAAATAGCACAGAAATATTTGGATATAAAGTCACAGCGAGTGTCATTAGAAAGATGCTTCCCCTCCCCATCACCCCTGAAAACAAACTTCCACCTCTGATCAATTCATTATTCCTGACTCTCTTCCCACTGCTACTGCCAAAGTAAAGGGAGATTGTATCTCCCAAGTGCTACACTAAACTATTAAATGTCCTGCTATTGATTTTCCCCCTCTGAAAGGCTCCAAGCAGCACTTGCACAATGGCTGTTCTTGTGTCCAAAATGTGCTGAAAGGAAGGAGCAGTTTTCCCATGCATCCCATTATTATGTAGTTCATTACTTCTCTGACCTTTCTGCTTTCAGGAAGACTTTCTTTAGAACAAAAATAGCAGGAGAAATCTTGGTGGTTGGGAGTAAAAAGATTGGTGTCAAACAAGCAGTCAATTACAATATTAAGAGAGAAATCAGATGTTAGAGCTCTTAGACAGCTTCAGGTAGGAGGGATGGTGCAGGAAGCTTTCATTACAGAAACAAGGCAGGCAGAGCAAGGATTTCCAGCAGCTTGCAGAGCATGGCAGAGCACTTTCCTTGCTGAAAATGAAGTTTATATACCCACCTTCCAGGTGGGATGAGGAAGAAAGGCGTTGTGGCTGCTGACTCCACGAGCACGTGGCCCATCGCAGACACTGTGCTGGGGGGAGGAAAGCTGTGTTAGGGGCTTCACACAGGGCAGCCTTCCCAGAGTTCCAGTCCTTTCCCACTAGCTGTGTTTTGTAGGGAAGAGCTCCCTCACCTCACCTTCACCCAGCACTGGGAGAGGCAATCCCAGCTCTGTGCAGTTTGTATGCCACAGATTTCCCTAACAAAGTGACCCCTGCTCTGCAGTGCAGGGCACAACTTGTATTTCCCAATGCCCTTAAAAATTGTATTTCACACAGCTTTAAGAAATCTGCTTTGTGAAAACTCTCAGGAAGATCTGTCATGTTCATTGCTGCAAGAGGAGGAGCCAGCTGATAACACTGGAGTTATCACTGCCAGCCTGGATGAGTTTTATGGATGATGACATGTACTTGGGACACCCCATTTCAGGAGGTATTTGTTTGGGACACCCCATTTCACTGTGTGTGTGTGTGTTTGGGACACCCCATTTAGCTCTGTGTGTTTGGGACACCCCATTCAGCTCTGTGTGTGTGTTTGGGACACCCCATTTAGCTCTGTGTGTGTGATTGGGACACCCCATTCAGCTCTGTGTGTGTGTTTGGGACACCCCATTTGGTGTATGTGTGCTTTGGACACCCCATTTAGCTGTGCTTGTTTGGGACACCCCATTTACCTGTGTATGTGTTTGGGACATCCCATTTAGGTGTGTCTGTGTTTGGGACACCCCATTTTGGTGTCTGTTTCTTTGGGACACCCCATTTAGGGGTGTGTGTGTGTTTGGGACACCCCATTTCAGTGTGTGTGTGTGTGTTTGGGACACCCCATTTCAGTGTGTGTTTGTTTGGGACACCCCTTTTCAGTGTGTGTTTGTTTCCTCAACACAAATTCAGCTGCCCAAAGCCAAGTCCCTGCAGACTCACCCCATGTTTCCTTACTTTAGCTGTAGCTAACAAGAGGATAAAGCCTTAGTTTTGTGGAAGTGACAGATGTGCCTTCTGGGCTAGGAGTGGTTAACCCTAAAATCAAGTTAATGCTCATACTGACAGTCTTGGCCCAGTCTAAAAATGCAGATTTTTACTCTGCCATCTCCAAAAGGTTTAGCATCTATTTATACTATTTTTCATTTCACCTTTTCTGATGGGAAAAGATGATTCACTAGAGCCAAACAGAACTGAGAGTTCATCAGCATATTAAAGTTAATGGAAGGAGCAAGCCTTGCTGGCCAAGTCATTAACAGCTCTCAGAGTTTTTCAGGATCACTCATTGCCCACCTGACACGTCAGCTCTTTCCACTACAGAGCCCTTGGCCTTGTACACAAGCAATAATTTATGCATTGCACTTAGTGGTTTCCACAAAGCCATTACCCAACTTTGGTTCCTGTTACCATCAGTAGACATGTGAGGTGAAAAAAAAAAAGGGGATAAAATATAAATTTGCTCCAGGAGAGCACAACAACTTCTGCAGAATTAGAAGTGGGGGGGGGAGGGGGGTGGGAATTAAAACAGCCAGAAGGATGCAGAAACTTTTAAATTAAGGATGTTTTAACTCCAACTCAAAACCATAGAATTCTTCTTACATTTTATAGTAATGCTTTACTTAGACCCAGAGATACTCAGCTGATTTTAAAGCCAAATTGGGTGTCTAAAGTAATGAGGGAGGAAATTACACAGAAGAGATCAGCTGTAACTTTATCTTGATGAAAAATTTCCCCCATCCCCATCAGACCAGTCTCAAATCCTCACTATCAATTAGACTATGAACTCTTTAGCAACAAACTCAGCAGCAATTTAACAGAAAAGGCTATAACTTGCAGTGGTACCATGGTCCCTTTACACAGCCAGAGTGACCCAGAGTCACATCAGTGTAAACAGAAATCAGATTTATTGCTGCACTAAGATTAGTGTAATTTACACAGTCCTCAGCAAGGCTTTAAAGAGGGTGTTTGGTAAGAACAAACGATGCGGTGTGTTTTCAACATTTCTGCATGTAAATCCTACTCAAAGAGCATTTATTGATTTAAATAATGCACCAGTGATTTAATGCTTACCTAAAATGGCATTTTGCATTCACTCCCCACCCTGCTCACAGAAATCTGCTCCTTAGAAGCCCCACATCTCATAAGGGAAAAGACTCCCAGGCACTTAAGCTGACCACATAAACATTATCTGAGCGGCAGGAGGAGAAATAACTGCACTACCACCATGCCAAATCTAGTAATGTCTGCAAGTCTACATTCTTCTCAGTTCCAGGACAAAAGTCCAAGAGATAATGTGATTAGAGATTCCCATATATTGCAAACAGGCTGCCACAGCTGTTGGCACAAAGCACTTGTGGTTTGATGAAACTCCCTGGGAAAACCAAGCTCCTGGATTACTCAAACTTGAAATACTGACTTTCTGATCTTCTTACCAGGCAGATTCTGTCCTTCCAGCTCTGCTGCTGCCTGACCCCTCAGGTAATCCTGAGTGCTCAGAGCATGGGGGATGAGCAGCTCCTGACTTGTCCTGTGGATGGGCAGATTTCTTCTGTTAATGGTGGAGCATGTTATAAAACAAATTATGTAGTTCAGAGGAAAACAGCTGCACCAATGCCAAATCAGCAGCTTTTGATCATTGCTACAAGCAAGGCAGAACTTTTGATTTACAGGACTCTCCAGAAGCTTTGCTTTAATTCCCAGGATGAAAACAAAGCAGAAGTCAGTAAAAAGGGCAGTTTCATATGAAATCGGAGTGCATTAATAACCCACAGTGCAGCAGCATCACTGCCAGCATAGCAGGTTTGTGTCCCCAACCAAGGTTTGATCCTGACATCTATGCTCCAGCCCCCATTCCTGAGGTATCTGGCAGATTCACAACCTCACCATAACCCCAGGAGGGCTTTGGATCAATGAATAGGATGCCCAAATACTCTTCACAAATCCTGACTGGGAGACAGCAGCAGCTGCTGATGTTGATGTGACACATTTGTTTGCTTCCTCCTTCCAGCAGCCAAGGGTGCTGAGCACTGAGGAGTCCCCAGAGCAGCCCCAAGTCCTGCTGTCAGGCAGTGACAGTCCTGACACGGCCCATGTGTGGACATGATTGGTATCTCTGTGTTTGCTGCTGCTGAAACAGCCTCAAGTTATGCACAAAGGAGCTGAGGAGTACAAAAGAGAATTCCTGCTTTATCATTCCATCAGGAAAGACTGTCATCAGGACAGGGATCACTGTCTGGAGGCAGCGACCATCCCAGATAACAAAGGACAAGGAAGTGGAATAGCAGATCTAAAGTGATTACCAGGTGTGCTCCTCTAATTAATTTGTTTGCCTACCTGAAGTGTGAGCTGCCCAACCTCCTTCTCCAGCATTTGAAGCTTTGTTTCTCTGTCAACCACCAACTTGCTGAGCTCATCTATCAGGGTACCTTTTTTCTGAATCTCAGGGTCCAAGTGCTGCCCCATCATCTCCTGAGATCCCTTGTTCCCATCCTCCTTCTGGCTCAGCCCCTTTAAGATCTCCTGCATTTGCTTCTGCTGGCTCTGGTAAAATAGAAACAGGTGAGATCTTTATTTTGTACATAATGATTATTTAAAACCCACCCCCCCCAAGATAAATATCCATTTAGGAATGGTAGGGAAAGCTCCCACCCTGCCAAGCCCATTCCACTGGTGTCACTGGTGCCACTTTGGCAATGTTATTTGTTATGTTGATCTGAGCTATGGTCAGATTCAATTTGCTGCCAGTTCTGCTGCTCAGTGTAGCAGAAAACAGAGCAAGAAAGGCTGGCCTTTGATAAAGAAGTGACTTTTTCCATAAAATGAATGAAACTCAAGATTTCAATGTGCTTTTTGTGGAATTAGAACATGATCAGATCATGTGATAGTAATAGCTGAGGGTACTGTGGGGTGACAGATACAAGGCCAGGCTGCTTCACCAGTATTTTGGAGGTTTTTTCCACACTGACAAATCTAATACCTGTCAGGCAGTTTGTTCTGTCAGGCCAACAACCTGCAAGTAAAGTGCTTTTGTGATAGAAGGGATAAAAGAGATTAACCATCCCTTCCCAAATAAACTTGCATCTTTCTGTACTAATTTTAGTAGGAATACTCAGAAAAAGTGACAAGTGCTTTTTGGTTCCCCTAATCTGCTGGTCAGCACCCACAGTACCTGGTGGGAGAAGGGTGAATTCTAGCTGAGCTAAAACCCACTCACAGCAGCAGGGAAATCTGAGTGGTTTGAAACTAGTGAGGAGTTGGATCAGGAAACACAGAATTAACCCTGCTAGGAGGTGGCATATTCTCTACTATATTTGCTATTTTAATTGAGGAAGGCTGCTTAGAACCATGGCAGGACCATGACAGCAGCCATTTATTTCTTTCTCAGCATCTTTGAGCCTTTGTTAAAACTCTTGGTTTTGAAGAGGCCAGATCCTCTCAGCTACTGAATGTGAGTGTGCACATGGTTTAGTGCTCGTGTGTTGTGGGCTGTGCAACAAAATAAATGGCAGTTTTGTTACAAACAAATAAATTCCTGCAGGACTGCAGGCATTCTAAGGAAAAAAAATCTACCAGGGCAGCTGAAAGCAGAACAAAGAACACAGGCCAGCACCTTGGGTCAGGACTGAAGCCCTTCCTCTACCTATTTCAATCCTTCTGCAAAATGTTTCTGCCAGTCCCTGCAGTTCAGGGCACTTGACTGTAACTGGCACACCTGGTGCTGTCTCACAGCCCTTACATGACCTGATCCAAAATGCAGAAGGATTTCAGCTGACAGAGAAACCTCTGGCTGTCACAGCTGGATCCATCAGGCTCCTGTGCACCCTAAGGTGGTGTGTGCCATGAAAGGACATCATGTTTTACCACCTATAGAAACAGGGCTGGGACCAACACAGACTGTACCAGCAAGGCATCTATGAGTTCATCATCATGTTTCCCTTTCTCCAGCAAGGTTCCAATCTGTCCCTTCAGCGTCTTCACTTCTGCACACAGAATTTGGTTCCTGGCTTTTGAGGCATCAAGTTTTTTTTTCAATTCCTCATGGTTTTTTTGGAGAGTGTTGTGTTGCTCAGAGAGTTTCTGCAGTGATGTAAAAGGAAATGAGTATTATAATTTATCACCAAGTAAAGCAAAAAGAATCACACATGACCTGGTAGATTCTAAAAAAATGGGACTGGAATACTGTATTATTCCCAGGGAAGCAGAAATTATAAATGCTATTTTCTGCCTGCTTGCCAGCATCCAAAAAGGGTCTGTCTGCTCAGGAATCCAGGTGGTCTGGGATGATTTTCCATTTTTCTGGATTCTGATTCTCCATTATTCTGTTCAAATGGAGAAGGCCAGAGTCCTACAGATACAGGAGGTGTGAGAGGATGTCTGTATTTGGGATGAAGAATGCACACCTGGCCAAGGGGGTGACAGGGGTGCTAAGGAGTTTGGGGACAGCTGTAGCAGGGCTTGGCTGTGAAGTGGGGCAGAGCTTCCTCTAGCAGATCAGGTGGGTTTGTGAAATGGTTTTGGGTAGGCTGTAAACACCCTGAAGGCAGGACAGGTTATTACACAGTGCTCCACACCCAAACAGAACTCTGTCAGCTCACAGGATTCTACCTCCAAAGATTCCTTCTTTTCTTTTTCCAAGCTGCGAATCTTCAGCAAGTTCTTCTCTTGGACTGACAACTTCCTTGGATCAGGAAATGCCAGCAATCCCTCATCCACCTCAAGCAGTGAAGCTCTGATCTTCTGATGACTCAGTTTATGCTCCAGCTCCTGAACCTATGGCACAACAATGACAACTCACCCAGAGCTTTCCCACAGGTACAGGGCGAAGAGGACACAGCCAAAGGCAGCTCAGATTACTCTTGATATTTTCATGGTTAATTAACACTAGCAGTGTCTGGTTTTTCAAACTGAAATTTAGCTGCTAATAAACATGCAGATTTTAGGGCATCTGTGCAGGATGGAGAATTGGGACATGTGGGAGCTCTGTGCCTTTGTGGAGCCCCATTTGGAGGCCAGACAGGCACTCCAGAGCATTGGAATTGCTGCTGTGTGAATCCAGGGAACTCAGCTTGTCTGCTGCTCACTGCAGGCTGCTTTCACAGGCAGTAGAAGGAACTGGGCACTGCCACAGCTCAGTTCCTCTGCCTGCATTGCAGGAACCTGCCTCACTTTTGATCCAGTGACTGGATTTACAAGATCCCCACTGACTACAGAAGGGGCCGGAGGAGTCTGGATCAGAAAGAAACCTGTACATTAGAGCAAAGAACAGCAGGAACAGTGGTCAGATGAACCCCAGGCAGGGATAAAACAGGGGGAAATGGAATTTGCTCAAGGGAAAGCAGAAGTTAAAAGTCTCAGAGTGAAAAAAAAAAAAATCACAGTTTGATGGCATTGAACAGCAGAAAAATAGGAAAATTACGTATCAAATTTCCTGAGAGAAATTTTATTTAGATGCAGACAAAACTGCCTCCTGCTGACATTTCAGCTAAACTCTGCCCTTCAGAAGACTCAAGAGTTAAAGATTTCACTGAAGCTCCCGAGGGAACAACTTGAAAGCCTGATCTGGCCTCAATTCTTCCCATCTGACTCCAAGCTCTGAACAAAGGTGTCTAAGTCAGAGCACAGACACTGACAGGGCTCCTTCTGTTCCCAGTGGAGAGAGAGGCACCTTAAGAACACCCTGAGACTTGAACTAGGCTGCCACAGCTCTCCAAGGTCACTGAACTCCTTCCTTTGACACAGATGTGAAAGATTCCCAGCTGGAATACCAAAGCTTGCAGGGCTGCAGAGTCATTAACATGGTGTGCACACATTGACAAAGAGATGTTAAGAATTAATGAAGAAATAACAGTACTTTTACCTTAAACTGAGGCGATAACTCTACTTAGAAAGAGAATTCCAGCTGAAATGGCACCGTGCAGGGTCATAACTCACCTTGGTTTGGAGAAGAAGAATTTGCTGAGCTCGTCCACGCCAGTTGCCAGAACTGGCCATGAGATTTTGGATATTCACATCTTCGCCCACTTCTTTGGCTAAAATCTGGGAAAAAGGATTAATAATAAGGATCAACAATAAGGCTTAAAAGGATGTGTTGGGGAGAGGGAAGGAAAAGCAGCTCTCTCTAACAGGGAACACAAGCAGTTTTCAATATACACAGTTATTTTTGATATGATGAATATTTACCCATAATTAACCAGGAGCAGAGTAGAGATATTGTCTTCATACACACCAGGAATTGAACCAATCTCCCTTGCAAAATTCTGACACAGCTAAACTTAGTATGAAGAGCATTTAAATTATTTATAAAAAGGTCAGCAGAGTTCTATTTTTAGGACCATATTCTCTACTATGAGCTGCATTGCAGGGCTCCTACACAGAGGAGGGAAACCAAAGAGAATCAGAGCACATAATAACACTTAAATCCATCATGAATCAGAGGGAAAGGTTATTCTGGATGTCATTCCAACAAACTCTTTAAACACATGCTTTAGTTCAAGAATGACCTTTAATCCCATTGATTCCTATGGGACTGGAACCTGCATTAAAAGTAAATACATAATTAAATGTATGGGCAAAGAGGAAAGAACCTGGATCTATGTCACAAACAGTTCTGCTGATCTGGGACTTTAAAATTCAGAAGGATTTGTGTCCAATGGACAGCTGGAGGCAAAACATGAGATCCCTGTGCCCAGGAGCACAATTTCAATTCCAAACCCATTCCTTGTGTCTTCCTCACTTCCCTACTCCACTGGAACAGCTCCTGGGGGCCAACCAAAGGCCAAAAACCTCCCAATTTCCCCAGCCTGAACCTCCTGCAGCGATCCCAGCCCCAGACTGCTCCCTGCAGTGGTACCTTTTGGGTCAGCTTCAGTTCCTGTTTCAGATTCTGGAGCTGGTTCCGATATTCTGTCACTTTTACGTTGGCTGTGCTCAATTTTTCTTGCAGTGCTTTCACCTCTGGATTTTCAGCCTGGGAGGAGAAGAATGCACTCGGTGAGAACAGAACCCTCAGGGAAAAACTGAAGTGATTAACAGCTATGGATCCATCAAGACCACTGAATTTTTTTTCCAGACCTAATTTTTGGGGCATAGAGGAGGTACAGGGGAATTTGGTCCCAAAAGTGGTGACAGAGATACATCCTTGTTCTACAAAGGAGCTGAGTATCAGCTGCTGATTTCCTCATTTCAATTACAATTCCTACCAAGTTTCCTTCCAGCATTTTCAGAGTTGATTCCTTGATTCCTGCAGCATCACCACCAAGGGAATGGATTTTTTCTGTGGCTGCCTGGAGCTGGAAAAGAACCTCATTGTTAGTGTAGAATGGATGCAGTGAACAGCATCAATCCATGGAGTATTAATTAGCAAAAAAGTATAACTTGGATGTTTATGCACTCTAAAAAAACCCAAAAACCCCTTAATTTTCCCTTGTTTTTTTAACACAATCAGTAGTAAAGCATAATTATTTTTTTCTGAAATGCTTCCCAAAGAGTCATGTTGCATTTTACTGTGGAATAACTTCAGAACATGTCTTTGACTTGCTGAGATGGGATCAAATTTCAAGTATGGAGATTTCTGAGGCATTTTATCACCAAAATTACCTCAAATTAATGTTTATATACATAATTCCAAAACAACCCAGAATATTTCATAAAAAGCAAACAGTACTCAACAGAGGAATATAAAAGGAGAACTCTACCTGACACCCTGAAACTGAGATTTAATGGTGTTAAGGCTCTTTTTCTTTAGTTGGGAGCTCTAAAGCAGCAATTTTTAACTGCTTTAAACAATATTTACGTATAAAGACTCTGTCACTGCTTGCTTGCCACAGCAAAGGAAAACAGACATACAACTCCTCCTGCTCTGAATCATGCCCTATGTTGGTGTTGCAAATATTTCTAAATGGATGAGAGTACAGAAATTTGGGGCTGGAAAGGCCAGGAAGTGTTTTAAAAGTTTGGGACTTCATTACTTGAGGTGGGTAGAAAATCTTGATTATTTGCCTGAATTAAAGAAGGATCTAAGGAAGAGCTCCCTCATTAAAGGGCCATCTGGGGAAAAACTCAGAGGCAGCTCTAGCTGAGCTAAAGACTTCTGACTTTAAGACTTTAAAACTTTAAGACTTCTGACTTTCACCCTTTTTCATGGGTTAGGGTCAGTCTTTCTATCCAGTTCATAAAGCTTTGTAGTCAATGAACTGATAATGAGGAATTTCAGCTGGAGCTAGCAGCTGCTGGCTCCAGCTCTCAGGAAATTTTCTGCAAACATCCCTTTGCTTACGTGGTCCACACTTTGCCAAGTGATTGTTCAGTGGCCACACCTTCCATTCTGTTTAGGGGAACATAATCATGGTAAAATACTTATGATTTACAGATTTTTCAGTTTTTATGCAAGGAAAGAGCTAAAAATATGTAAAATAACAGTGTTTTCCATCTATCACTCTGCATTTTTGGTAGATACCCCCCAGTGTCAAACACTGCTTTCATTTTACACATCATTTACGTCTTCATCTTGAAATGTTTGTGCTCCTTTCTTTTTGTGCCAGAATCCGAGAAGATTTAATTTTTGTTTGAATAATGGTCATTACACTTCTGCAGTAGGGGAGAGGAACCAAGTTGATTTTTCCTTAAATTATTCATGAACTGCTTCACTATTTGTGTGATTTTGTAGGTCCCAAACTACACCTGTGACTTGTTTGCCAACCTGCCAACTGTTTGACAAGACCCCTGTGACCAGAACACTGTGGATTTATGCAGAAGTTCTCCAAAATTTAATTTAATCTATGACTTCTTGATCTTTCAGGTAGCTGGGGTGCAATTCAGGTAGATGCATGACTCATGATAATAAGTGATGGTGAAAGACCGAGTCAAAATGCATCTGTCAGCATTATTGATTCATTTAACTGATGTCTTCTCAGGAAGCAAAGTTCAGAAAAAATTTTAAAGCTGTATTAAAAAATCACCAATACTGTGTAAGGAAGAGGAGCAGTAGCCAAAGGACAAAGCAAATATTGACATCAGGACATCTCATTTTCAATTCAGCAGCCACCTGAGTAAAATTACTTCTGTGAAAGGTTGGCAAAAAGTCACCGTAAACCAGAAAATTTAATCTGCCTGAGTGAAGATTTGCTGTCTTAAATAATATAGTTTGGTGTTGTCTCTGTTCTGTAAGTACTTATTCCAGAAAACAGCTTTTATTACAGGGATAACAAAAGCTTAGAAGAATAAAGAACTAATTGCTGACTGCTCTTAACAAGGTGGGAATGTAAGACATAAAGGTGTGAAATTTGCTTCTCCTCACAAAAAATAAATAATAAGAGAAATAGCATTGCCAAACTGGTAGAAAAGTCTCTGTGCTTCTACAAGTGAACATTCCTAACTGCTGTTTGATAAATCCTTGGCTCGTTGCAACTTGGGGATATCCTTTCCTAGCTCCTCCTGTCTGCAGAGGTGAAACAGCTGAGGGAACACATCATGGACAGAAATGAACATAACCCAAAGCAAACACAGATTTAAGAGCAAATTCGACATGGGAACATGAACCAAACCCGTTTTCTATCCCAGAGGCTGGGCTGCCATGTTTTATTGTGCAAAAAGAACAAGAAAAATGCCTCACTTCTCTCTCCAGCTCCTTGACTTTGTGATTCAGCTGCTTCACTTTGGCTCTCTCACTCTCAAACTCAGCAGTGACCTCACGGTTCTTTTTGGCCAACTCAACGATTTTAGTGGCAGCCACGTCTCCAGCTAAACCAGACACCCCTGCAAAGAACACATCAAAGCAGAGGGCACAGCTTGCAGGCAGGATTCAGAACAAACCATGCTTTTGTTCTCTGTCACAATGCACTTCCATTGTCCCGTCCCTTCCTCTCTGAGCTGTGCCAGGCACTTAAATGAACAAGTGAGGGAAGAGATGTCAGAGGTGCCAGCTGGATGGGTTGGTCCTTTGATTCAGCAGCACACCAGGGCCACATTTCACACTGTGGCAACAGCCACATGTCACAGGGACACAGCAGTGGTCAGAGCAACATTATTACCTAGAGAGGGCAGCGGTGCTTCCTGCTCACTGCTGGGAAGAACAGCTGGGAACAGGATTTTTTTGGCATTATCACAGAAAAAGGCAACACTGCTTTGCCTGGTTGTTTACTACTGGAGGAGCTGCTGGGACAGAGGTGTGAACATTTCTAGACATCAGTCCTCAAAGGTCAGGCACAATATTACAGCTGGGTCCTGGACAAGGTCCAGGAAATTTCATTGTGCCTATTTATAACTCCCTTGGGATCACACAGGGAGCTTTACTGGATGACTCTTTTAATTTCTCTTTTAATTAGCCACATCACTGGCTCCCTCATCAGGGAGGGTTTGATTAGTGCCACAAACAAATCAAACCCCAGGCCTGGCTGTTGTGTCACCTGGCTCTGGTTAAAAGCACACAGGTGAAGGAAAGCTCTTGTACATGTGCAAAATCAATGTCATGGCAAACAATGTCCACAGAAAGCTCCAGCTCAGCAAGGAACATGAGCCTGCAACAACAAACCCTTGGTGGGACGTGTGAAGACTGAACTTGGCTGCTGTTGTTCCTCTTAACTCTTTCATCCTCCTTCAGAGCTCTGCAGTAATCACTTTTCTCTGATGTACATTAACTGGGGTGGGAGAGGTGAGAAATCACTCACAAGTCAATACTGAGGCTCATACACCCCCAGAGACATTAATGGGGCTACACAGAATACAGCTGAGAGCAGAATTTGTTCCTGTGCCACTATTTAAAAAAACATGTAAAGAACATAATTTATTGTTTTAAAGGAATTTATTTTAAAAGCATTTAAAATGTTTTTTTGAAAGCACTTAAAATCAATTCATTATTTTTAAAAGCACTGTTCTCACTCCTTTGTGTGATTTATGTTACCCCTCCCACCTGGGAGCTACTTTTACCTCAGTTTTCAGGATAAATAACGACTGCTGAGAATCACGGTAAATACTAAATTAACCAAAGACAGGTTGCTGCTTCCATGTTAAATTTATGGTCTTCAAATGCATTGCACACACTCACCCAAGGCTTTTCATTTCCAAGCAGTGTGGGGATTGCCACAGGGAAAACACAGGCAAGGGATTGGCATCAGCCAGAGAAGCTGCAACAGCACATCTGGCTCCTGGTCCTGACTAGGAAGAGATTATCACCTCTCCTAAACACAAACTACAGCTGCTTTTCAAGGATTAAGGTGTAATTTAATGTTATTTAGTTCTCTTCGTTGCTGGTTTCCCCCTTCTCTTCAAGCCTAGTCATCACTGCTGTCCTGACCAACAGTGGCACCCAGTGGAGGAAGTGCAGCCTGCACAGTTCAGTTGTCAAAAGACACCGAAATCACTTTAGCAGCTGAATTTTGCATTCATCAAGCTGAATTTTGCACTCATTCAGCATTTCTATGTTCAGACAGAAAAAAAAAGGCACCTGAATAAGAAATGTAACCCTACAGAGCAGAGAAAGCTGCAGCACAGCTCTTGACACTAACAGGAAGTTTCCCAAATAACGTTTCTATGGAACACCACTATTTTTTGGTGCCAATAATAGCAACTTTACAGTTCTATGAGGAACAGAAATAACTGTGTACCCTAAAAGAGCACTATTCTTTTCAGGGACGTTTTTTGGTCATCCACATCAAGCAAACCAACATGAGGAGAAGACAAAGTCGCTCTGTTTACCTGACAAAGCCAACCTCTCCTCCCGTACTCTTCTCTGGAGCTCCTTTATTTCAAAATCTTTCTCTGACACCAGTCTGTAGAGCCTGCAGTTCTCATCCCGGACCTCTCGGAGCTGATCCTGCAGCTGCTCATTCTCAGCCTCAAGCAAACTGGGAAAAAATAAACCAGAATGGCAAATAACACACAAATAGATGCTCCTAGAAGTAAAATAATGAAACAAGTGCCTGATAGATGGCTGAGCTTATCAGGAGTTTAATGAATGAGGCAGAATGTTCTAAACCTAAGATAAAAACACAAGCTGATTATCTGATCTATTCAGATAACATCTTCTTATAAAAAAAAAATCTGCACTTTCTTGAGCTGTCTGGGGAAAAACATCACAGAGTAGGTGTATTGAGATTACCAAATAGTGTCATCTCAGTTTTACTTACCTGGTTCTTCAGTGGAAATCAGGCAGCATTCAGCATGTGGGACATTCAGGCTTTCTTTTCTATACTTGACAAAGCCAAGAGAAGCCAACAGAACATTGACTACAAAGCTGCCCCTGGGTCTTTTAAAAATCAATGTTTTTGAGCAATTCATAAAAGACCAATTTCCCATGTCCTCAGCTGATTCTCTTGGAACCCGGTGAGCATCAGTTTGTATTGTTAATGGTGCCTTTTGGAATTCATTTGGAAACAGAGAATACCAACAAAGCTCTCTGAATGGAAAGAAACAGCCTTGCTTCTCCTATTCTTCAGGACATTCAGCAACATTTAAAGGTTTCATGTCTCTACGACATCCAGAGAATTAATAACTTTAATCTCTTTACTGCCCTGATATGATGGGTCCTTCAAATATAAAATCCAGGAGCTGCGGCCTCAGCGGCTTAATTCAATTGTGGGAGTTCAGAATTATCTGAACTCCCTGGCACAGGGTCCGAGAGAAAACCTGGGATTTAATATAATTACCCACTCACAGGTGACATTTGGGCTGCCCACCTGACACCAGCTGCTGCTGGTGGAAGATGCAGGTCTCCAGTGTCCCGTGATTCCCATGTGGAAGTTCCTGATAATCTACAGCATTTCAGTAATCCAGACACCTAAATCAGCTGAAGGAATTGACTCCTAGATTCTCACTTAACCCTAAATGTTTACACTTTGGAGATGTGGTTTGGATAAAGCCCAGTTGTTACAGTAGGTACCTGTAGACACAGGCAAGTCAGATGTCTCAATAATCATCTAATTTTTTTTTATTCCACAGTTTTAGCAAGCTCTTAATACCCATTGCACCTGGGAGCTTTTAAATGCACCCTCTATCTGCCCGTGGCACAATAAATGCCCTTAAGGCACTGCCATAAACAGCACAGCCAGTTTAGGAAAGGATTCACAACGCATAATTAAGAAATGCACTTGTGTTTCAAAGCTGCAAATCAAAGGGAGATCAAAGGCAGCTGTTCACAAAGGAGAAGAAAGAAAGGCGCAGAGGAGAGGCAGAACTGAGTTATTCCCACATGAACCACTCAGAAGAGTGAGCAATGAAACCCAGATCCAATTAGAGACACCTGGACCAAAAGATTTTGAACAGCTGGGGGATTAACATGGAAAAAAGGTTCTAAGCTCTTAACACACCTGAGCAGCGAAGTCTTCTGAGAGCTGGAGTCCAAGCCTTGAGGAAAAGCACTTAGAGGAGGATGGACAGAAATCCCAGTTTCACAGAGCTGGAGTCTTCTCTGAGGAACTTCCCACCCCATCCCAGAGTGACTCTCCCTGTTACAGAGGCTACAGAAAATGAGCCAAAAGAAACAGGCTGCAAAAGGTGCCCCTTTTCACTCTCCTTCAAGGAATCAAAGCCAGGTGGAGCTTATGAGCAGGGCTCTGCCTGGAATTCAGGTGGTTTCCCAAATTGCATGCTCTGTTCAGGCCAAGAAAAGTACAAAAAAAAGTAAGGAATTTAACTTTTGTTAAATTGTGTCTTTCCCAACTCTTGTTAGAATTCTCCACATGATGGGGAGAGTCACTTAGATACATTCAAGTACACCAAACAGAGAAGGGAGGATAAAGTTACAGAGAGAACAAAACAGAAAGGCAGAAATATCACTAAACACTTGTCTAAACAAGACTGGGGAGTAGGATGGGAGGAAGGAAAAAAGAATTCCCAAGGCTCAGAGGAAGGGGGAGTTCTGAGAGGAGAATGTTTTCTGAAATCACTGCCACTGCAGCCCATGTGCAGTCCTGTGATCCTGGAACAGCCCTCTGATGTGTTGTCATGGGAATATTGCAGAGAACATCCTGGTGAATCCCTTCCAAAAACAAACTCTGCTGGCTTTGATCACTCACAACCACTCCTCTGCTGAATGTACACAAGCAAAGGACAATCCAGATAGATCTGCCACACCTGCCATGTCAAATAGGGACTTCTGACAGTCAGTGACACAGCAACAGAGGTGAATAAAAAAATCTGTGATTACTCAGGCCTCAGCTCTAAATAGCAGACAACTACTTGGCTTTCCTGTACTCTGCATGCTGCCAATGCTGTGCTCTTGGAGCACCTAAATCCCTTTCCTCTGCCAAACATCTGAACTATGGGAATCAGCCTCACAGAAATTTTTTAAAAATCAGATTTCCATCATAATCTTCTACAGATTATCAGAAGACACTGCAGAAGGGAAGAGGACAGCTGGTAGAGGTCAGACTGGGGGTTTAACTTGGCAAATCAGACAGCTCTGATGAGACACCAGTGCATGAAGAAATGTCTTCACCTGGCTTCACCACTGCCACACAGCAAAGCCCTGCACAGCCAATGTTGCACTAAGGTAGAAAAATCATAAACAAAGGCTTCATAAAATCAAGCCTGCTCTGTTAAAATCAGTGGCTGGCCTTGTCAAAGCTAGTATTTTGCAGGTTCCCATGTGAAAGCAATGCTGGTGTGAGCAGTTCATTAACATAACAATCTATTCCTTGGTGAAAAACAACTGGCACCTGGATAAACCTGGATAAACATTAGATAGAAAAATGAACATTATCTCTCACAAACAACTTTTCATGCACATACACCCTCGGGGTTTGAGTGACCAATCAATATAAAATAACAACTCGTTAATAACCAATAAGTAATTGGCAAGAAAGCTACTGACCAATTGGACTCCCACACAAGATCTGTAAAACTGAATAAAAATTATTTATGTGAATAAAGAATGGGCTTTTTCCACCACGAAGAAAATGGAGTCCCACAGCCAGCAGTGCAGACACCTTTGGGGTGTGTCCAGCCCCGGACCTGTTCTAGTCAGGAGAAGAAGTATTAATTGGGTCAGAGGGAAAGGCTGACTATATCCTGGAAGGAAGAGAAATTATCTGAGCTGGGGCTCTAAATCTCTGCTCCAGTACTCAGCTCAAAATAAAACACAAGATTAAGGGAGATCCATACAAAATGCCCAATATCCTGGTAATCTTATGATCCACCAAATCAGGATATTTGCAAAGAAATCCCAGGGAACACTCTTCTGCACTGCCAGCCTGTGGCTTGCTCCCATTAGCCACTTTGCCTCTGTCCACCTTTGGAAATTATTCATGTAGGGAATCTATTTGCTTAAACCTTGGCAGGAACTAACCAGCAGTTCAGAGGGTGCCAGTGACCCCAAAAGGCTGGATTTTACCAGGTAGTACCTGGCTGCCCCTTCATTTGTAAAATACTGATATTAAAGAGCACAGCACAATGCCCTGAGGATAATTATGGACAAGAAGAATCTCCTCAGGATAATGAAAGCCCAGTGTGTGAAGACACAAAGAGTTCTATCATCTTAATAATATTGAGTTTCATGGGATCATAAGCAAAATATACTCCAGTGACTTCCTGAAGGAATGGTGCTGCCAGACCTTTACCTTTTGCTGGCATCTTCATTTACAGGAGGTCCTTTTTTAAACAGGTTTAGATCACTCAGGGCTCTTATAGTCTCCTTTGTGCTGCCAGTGTTCTTCTGCCTGTCCTGCTTCTCCTTCATCTCCATCAAGTTCTGCAGCCGCCTTTGCTGTTGCTCCTCATAAGCCTTGAACTGGCTTTTGAAATCTTCATTCACTTTTACATCTGGCTCCATTGTTTACTAAAAGCATAACAAGAGGAAAGTAAAAAGTGAGAGAGAGCAGAGATCAGCACTGCTCTGAGAAACATCCCCTTCTAGGAGCTGCTCTGCAGATTTTCCCCGCTGATGTCTGCCCAGTCTCCAGCCTGGCTTCAAGTGCCTTTTTCCAAAAATGGCTTTTAAACAGCCCTTTAAAAAAAAAAGTTGTTGGGTGTTTTTCACTCCAAATGTTCCTAAACAGACCTGTTTAAATAAACATTTTAACAGAGGAGCAGGTTGGGGCCAAATCCAAGGCAATGTGGCAGCCACGTCACACTGGCTAAAGGGAGCACAGAGTGTTTGAGACCATCCAGCCTCCCTGCCCATGTCCAGGAAAGCTGAAAATCCCCTCAATTTTTGGGTTAATGAGAGAGAAAGAAAAATATTTTTTTCCTTATGCTCCCTTTAGGGAAGACAAAAGTGTGGCTTACACCTTTCCTGCAAATTTCTAATCACTGAGTGATGACATTAAATAACTAAATAATAATACATTAATTATTAAGTATATTTAATAATAACAATATATTATGAATATATATTTTAAAATATTGATATTGCTACCCAAACATTTTCTTAGGATGAATAAAGGCAATTTTCTGATAAATTGCAGCCCCTTTCTCCTTCTCTTTGACATTTATTGTGGGCAAAAAACCCCTATTGCACCTTTGGTCTATGAAAATCAATACACAAATACCTCCAAAGGCACACCCTGCACTGAGTAATTAACACAGAGCCTTTCCCACACTGAGGGAAATACAATTATCCTGATTAGTGCACCAAAAGGCAGAGTGTTCCTTTATGTATTTTATAGGCAGAGAGTCACCTGGACAAGGTGCAAGGAGCAGAGTCTGGTGCCTCTGCACAGCCCACAGGGCTCAGGGCATGAGGGATCAAAGAATTACTGAGTCAGTGAGGTTGGAAAATTAATTTCAATTGATTCAAGCTGATTCTGAGATTTGGAAAAAGCCTGCAAAGATAAGGAGTTCATTCCATTTACTTAAGCAAACTGGATATAAAAGTTAGAGAGCTTTTCTGTTTTCAGTAACCTTTGGGTTGATAATTAAATTTATAATTAGATTGGACCTCTTCATAGATTTAACTACTGACCTTAAAGATAGCAAAGATAAGCAAGAACATCTTCAAACAGTAGTTGTCTCTGTTCTGAAAATATCCTAGAATTATTAGTAGAGTAACTATTTTAGGCTTCATGATTTTTCTCAGAATTTTCTTTACTTAGACTGCACTGCTGATTAATTTATTATGTCATAACTTCTGGACTTATTTACTAATCTATAGGCCAAAAATGTGCATGGCACTCAAAGTGCAGCTCCAATCACACAATGCTAAAATGGAAAAGCCTTCTCATGTTCTTGGGTCCAACCATTAACCCAGCACTGCCACCAAACCTTGTCCCCAAGTGCCACATCCACGTGGGATGTGAACACTTCCAGGGATAAAGCGTTCCACACTGAAGGGTTCAACGCTTCCAGTGATGAAATATTCCAAAATATCTCATCTAAACTGTGAAAAACACCAATCACTTGGATTTTAAAATTTTTAAAAGTTTAATAATAATGAAATGGTTATAAAGACAGTAATACAATTAGAATAATAAAATTTAGAGTTAGGACAATTACAAGACAATAAAAAGCAAAGAATTACGGATGTCTGGATACTCTCAGACACTAAGTCATGAAAAACATCCCTTGTGAACAAAGGAATAAACTTAAAAACAATAGCCTGTTGCATATTCATATATACTTCATGGTTATGCATACATTCTATTTAAAAAAAGAAACTCTGACTGGTATATGCTAACTTTTTCTGTTAATCTCCACGGTGTCTTTGAGTCTGAGCAAGGCCTGAAGAAATTAGCTTCTTCTGATAAAAAACCCATAAATTCCTCTCCTTTGGAAGATTTAGGTGTTCCTCGAAGCGAGTATCTCATTCCCAAAAAAAAAACCTCCCCCCACATACATACTCTCTATTTAACATTATGTTGGAACCTAAAACTGTATTTAACAGACTACTTAAGAGAATGAATGCAGCATAACTTTCTAACATTACACACATAATATTCATTGTAAGATTTGTGAAAAGCCAATCACAAAATATGCATTTTTCACATAAACCATCCCTGGCTCTAGGCAGGAGGCAGCAGGTGACACAGGAACTCACACAGGTGGCTTTAGGTGGGAACCTAAAACTATATTTAACACCCTACTTAAGAGAATGAATACAGCAGAACTTTCTAACATTACACATATAATATTCACGGTAATATTTTGTAAAAAAGCCAATCATAAAACATGCATTTTTCACATAAACCATGTGCCTGGCTCCAGGCAGCAGGTGACACAGGAAGTCGCACAGGTGGCTTTAGGTGGGAACCTAAAACTATATTTAACACCCTATTTAAGAGAATGAATACAGCGGAACTTTCTAACATTACACATATAATATTCACGGTAATATTTTCAAAAAAGCCAATCATAAAACATGCATTTTTCACATCAACCATCCCTGGCTTCAGGCAGGAAGGCAGGAGGTGACACAGGAACTCGCACAGGTGGCTTTAGTGGGAACCTAAAACTATATTTAACACCCTACTTAAGAGAATTAATACAGCATAGCTTTCTAACATTACACATATAATATTCACGGTAATATTTGCGAAAAGCCAGTCACAAAATATGCATTTTTCACATCAACCATCCCTGGCTCTAGGCAGGAGGCAGCAGGTGACACAGGGACTTTGGAAAGTCCCCACAGGAGGAGACTCCACGCTCCTTTTGGTTAGACCCTCAGCGGAAAGAACTTCTCACCCATTTTAAGGCGGAAATTCTCGTGTTTCCGTCTGTATATTTCAATTACAACCCTGCAGCTGTTAATTGTCCCCCACCCGCCTCGCCCCTGTGACCTGCCAGGACCCGCTAGGTCCTGGCAGCGCCGCGCTGTTCCCACCGCGGGAAGTGCTGCGCGCACCTCTGGCCTACCCGAGCCGCGTACCGAGGGCACCGGGAGGCTGCCCGGGGCTGTCCCGTTCCCCGTTCGGCGGGAGCGGAGCGGCGGCCCCGGCTGCGGGCCCGGTGCGGCGCCCATGGCAACGGCGGCGCGCGCCCCGCCCCTCAGCGCGGCCGCCATGATGGCTCCAACCCCACAGCCGCTCCCCGCCGCCATTCCGCCAATCCCGCCA